TTTAGACCCCCCCCTCCCTTTCACAGACCTGCTTGAGGGTTAAAGCCACAATGAGGTTAGAGTTTGGGACTTTGGGAAGCATTTATGTCATGGGAAGCATGTCAGCGAGCTAACGCAGGAAAACAACACCTTTAAGCTAAAATCAGAAAACTGCTCTGTACCTGGTACGGGTCTGTGTTGAGGTCAAAGTACTCCAGGAAGCCAGTCGCAAACTCACAGAACAGGAAGTTGTGGGACTCGTTGATGGTCCTCAGACACCAGTACGTGTTGTTGTTGGCACTGGTGCAGGCGCAGAATGAACCCACTGCAACACACACACCAACACAAACACACACATATTCATTAACAATATTCTTCTTGCTGTGCTGGTTAAACCCGAAGAACGGGGACATTTTTAGAAAGTGTGGTTCTCGGTTTGGGACAGCACTTTGATGGCGTTATTTATAAGCACAGCACAAACACAGATCACAGCAAACTCTTTTAGTGGCTGCAACAACAACGATCGAAAGCTCAAACACGGGGAAGGAGATCGTGATGTCGAAACGCTCAGGGTTGTGATGATCATCACAAAGTAAAGCAGTGGCTCTTACACGTCCAGAACGGCGCCGTGTGCCAGTGCTGGTTGTCATGAGTGAAGCAGGTGAGTCCTGGCATTGAACACGTGTCATTGTTTCTGATTCTCTTGATCATCTTCCTCATCTTCTTCCTCCTCTTCTGCTCCTTTAGAAGCCACGCCTTCTTGTCCCGAGCCCCGGCCTTCCTGCTCGCACGCACACACACACACACACACGCGCACACGCACACACACACACACACACACACACACACACACACACACACACACAGATAAAGCTTGTAGGATGTAGCTGCCCAGGGCCATTTATGTAAAAACACAGCGTGCTGGCTTATCGCCACAATGGTCTCACCTGAACGGATGCAGACTCCCTCCTCTGTACCTCAGTTTGTTCTTCAGTTTGGATTTGTACCTGAGAAACACAAACGTCACATCGCGTTTAATCACATGCATGAATCTAAAACTGTGGCGTGCACTTTTCTGCTACTTACAGATATTTACTGCAGTCACACTCCTGGGGGCGGGCCTTCTTCAGGTGACCTCTGACCTCTCTCAGGTTCTTTATCTTCGTCTGCAGAGTCTCAATCTGAGAGAAAGTCACAGGTATCATTCAGGGCCACTAATAATATTCTGCAGAACCTTAACCCCTTAGCAGTCCTACAAATTTACAATTAGTCCCCTAAACCATCCAATGTACCGTGGGCGGTACGTCCGACTGCTAACAGGTTAAACTTACTTCACTTCTGCGGCGTCGGGTGTGAGCTGGGATTTTTAGAGCGACATCCCAAACTTTTTAAAACAAGCGTCACTGCTGTAAGTCTTTTTCACTCTCTAACTTACTGTTTTGATTGGCTGGGTGAGCACGACTGGTTGCCTAGATGCTGCAGATCTTGTTAGCTGGATGAACCAATTAGTCCTATTTCATTCATTTACAACTCCCAGGTTTACCTGACAGGTGTACTGTGTTGTGCACACCTGACAGGAGCCGGGGCTGCAGTCCAGCAGACAGCAGCATCCCGGTCTGTAGCAGGAAGTTGTAAACCAATGAGGTGGAGAGAGAGAGGAACCCGGCAGACTCAGTTATCTGTCACAGAATCATTCACCCGGAACAGCGGGCAGCTACAGTCTGCACAGACACGGAAACGCTAACCTGCCAGGAGGCAGGGCTGCTAATGTTATCCACACTCTGCATATCCCAGCACCTAGAATAGGATCAGATCAATGAACAGTGTAATCACTGGTGTAATCACTGCGATCACTGACTTTTAAATTTGCCCTGTGTTTAACCTTTCCCATTAAATTGTGCTTACTTTGGACTGTTTTCTTACTTTTATACATGACGACTAATTTGATTGATTATTCTGCTGCTTTATAAACCGACTCCACGACACTTGCCTCGCACATGCACAACCCCAGGGTTTTGTTAGGTCGGGCGTACGCTGCAAAATCTGTGCCTGATCAAACATGCAGATGGATCGTGGGGAAGCGGAGCGGCTCAAGCATTTTATGAACATCCTCCCTCCACCTTTCAGAAAAAGCTGAGTCAGGAGCTTCAAAGCTCGAGGACAGTTCAGTTTAAAGGGACAAGAGCGCACTGACTGATTCAACATCTCAGCACTACTGTGTCTGCATGTGACTGTGGGACGTTATTTCAGGTGGAAATATCACTAAATAAACCAGAGCTTCAGGGGGTAATTCACAAAAAACCTTTAAGCAGGAGACTAGGGTTTAGGTACCAGCACTACCTTTGGAGAAGGTCAAGTTTAGATTAAATTAAAGCCTTTAAAAAAGTTGTTTTAAAATCTGTTCATAGTCACTAAAGTTGTGAAGTGTTTTGGTTGTTGGCAGCTTAGTTTGTTGAACCCGGAAGTCACAAGCGAGTGATGGATCTCACCGTGAAGCAGTGATAGTGATCTGTCAATCACGAGGTAGGGCGGGCCTAAAATGTGCCTTCCTTTATGTTTTTGACTCTAACAGGTCCAAAATCTTCAGAACCAACAGGTTAGAAATGATAAGACTTAAAAAAAAAAAGAAAGCAAAACCATCAGCAAAGTGTTTCCTCAGGTCAGAGATCAAATACAGAAGAGAAGAGGCCGTCAGACAGAATGCTCCTTTAATGCGCTTCATGTCCACCTCACATACAGTTTGTGGTCACAACAGTGCAGAGACGCTAACTCGTACTGCTGTGTGGCTTTTACAGAAACGTGAGAAGGACGTTACCTCGTGGTCGATATGCAGCTTGTGGTCCTTCCAGGCCTGCAGGGACTGATACACTCCCGTGTCACACTTCACTGTTGCATTAGACAGGATGGAACATCTGCAGGAAAACAGATTTAATATCAGTCGTATTTGCTTAAAGAGCATCATATCATAACACGAAAAAAACAAGCATTACTGACCGGTGAGTGACTTTAACAGAGTTGGGTGTGACCACGGCGTTGGGATCTCCTCCCATCCCACTAAACTCGTCCTCAGACTCGTCTCTCATTGGCTGATCCCAGCCTGCCAGGCTCTGGTTTCCAGGGTAATTGTTCGTCATGGAGAGAGAGCGGCTGTAACGGTTCCTGGAGTAATTCTTCAGGGCTTTGAACTCTGACAGAGAAACACAATTAAGCTCATCACCTCAGCGAATATCACCACTGAGAAGAATAAGAAGTTTATCATCACACTGCTCTTGCCCTACACAATAAAATCCACTTCCTGCAGTCTCTAAGTACACGTTTACATGCCTCAGTGTTACAGTAATGGCTAAACTAAAGCTCATCATTGACGGAGAACCTCAAATATCTGCATCTCTACCACCATAAGGGTGATGCAGTGCTGTCCTCAGACATTAGAGGTCAGCATCACACCACAAAGTGGAAGCTGCGGCCTGAGAACAACAGCTCTGAAACAGGAGAAACCAGGTTATCTCTAAATCTAAAAACATCTTCGCTCACAGCCTCTTCACAAGAAAGAAAGGGAAATAGAAAAGTCATTCAAGGAAAGGTTGGAAGCTCTGGTGGCAAGCTGTTGGAAACTGGCCTCAAAATAAATTAACTTCTTTATTCGTTACACGGACTTAAGAGTCGATCCTGTTCCTGCTTCAATTTAAGGAATTAAGAAAGGACATTTTACCACGTGTGCTTGCATGCACATGCTAAACAAACCCGGCCTCGTGCACAACAGTCACTGCTCCGAGTGGTGCTGTGAAAAACAGCTGCAGGACTTTCCCAGTTAAATTTATGCTCTAATGTGACATCTGAACAAGTCTGACAAATGGATTATTTAAACATGTGGGCCTCCAACCACAGAGTTCAAAGTAGCAATCCATCAGACACAGGATCAGCCAAACACACTGCTGAACTCAGAGATAAAGATCCAAACCATGACAAGAGTGTGCACTCCTCTACGACCGCAATGAGCCGCCTCAAACCTGCCATCAAACGTGTCATCCTGGCGAGATGAGTTTGTCAATCAGAGGAGTGAAAGAGATCTAAAGCTGACACGTCTGAGGACTTTATGCACCGTCTTTCTCTCTGAGCACATGCAGCAATGCTCGTATCATCGCATATGAACCGCGGCTCCTGTTTCATGACAAACTTATTACCACAAAGCAGCGACAGCTACGCTGAAAAAAAAACAAAAGTTTAAAATCATCAGCAATCAGCAGCTGGAAAATTAAAAACCGCAAATAAGTGTCATGCAAAAACATTTTGGTACTATTTTCCAAAAGCTCTGACTTTTCTTTGGTGAGAGGTTCGTCTGTTTATGAGTATGAGCGGCACTAATGTGTCATATCTGCAGGAGTTTGTCAGACTTGGTCACAGTGATGATTCCAACGTGTCGGTGTGTAGGTGCTCGTTTGAATTATTAATCGTTGGGATTAAAACATCTGCGTACACCAGTCATCCACAACAATGAAACCACTGTAAAGTCAGTAACAACAATCATCTTGTCCTGGCACTCTTTTAAACGCATCATCCAAACGTATCCGATCATCCCTTCGCATCCTGCAGACGCCGCGAGCAGCATGATGACACAAACCCCGCCACACTGCAAAAAACTGATCGCAACAGCTTGAGAAGCACAAAATCTCCAAATCACAGCCCAATCGAGGCCAAGCAGGACGTTCTGGAACAAGTCCGCGACATCCGCACACCGACAGGTCAGAATTGCTCCAGCAGCACCCATCGGAAGCCAAAAACTGTCATTCAGAAACCAAGTCAATGCCTACAGACTCCCATTTAAAACGAGCAAATTTACAGCATTAAAAAACGTGTTTACAGACGGGAACAAAAAGGTTTGGACCACCATGGACAGTTTGGTGGTCCAAACTGAGGACAGGTTGTTTCTTATAAACTATCCACTCGGATACAACTCGGGTTTAAAATTCAAACCATTCAAAGAAGTTTATGCTTCAGTTTTGTGATTTTTGCTTATTTGAGCTAAAAACCTCATTCTAGCGCCGTGATCTGATCCAGAAAACAATCTGGAAGCAGCCAAAACGTGAACATGAAGATGATGATAATCATGAACAGTGCTTAATTCAAATAAAGCAGGATTTTAGTCAGCTGACCTTTAACCTGTTTAGGCTTTTAAGGGATTTATGGATGAAACTTAATAAAGGAATCAGAGAATTCCAGAAAAGCTGCTAAACTGCTCACACAGTTTTCCATTTTAAACCCAACACAAAATTATTTTTTCACGAGGCAAACTGCGCATGCCTAATAATCACTGCTGCCCCCTGGTGGACTGAAGCGTTAACACTCACTCTTTTTGGAGAAGAAAGGCTTCTTGTTGAACGGCTTCATCATGGAGGGTCGAAGGTTCAGAGGTCGCAGGTCACGGAAATCGCAGTCGCAGGCACCAGAATTTGGAAGGTACAGTTGAGACTTGATGCTGATTGGACGCTGACGGCCAATCACACCCCTCTGGAAGCTTGTGGCCCCTCCTTCATTCTTACATTTGAAGAGCCGCAGCTTCCCCGTGGCGTCCTCCACACACTGCCACTTCTGCACACACAAAATCGAGCGCGAGGAATTATTTTTAACAGTTCAGAGGAGCCGGTTTAGTTTTCCCAACATCAAATGTTAGTATACAAAAGCTCCATAAATAAAATATAAATAATACTTTAACACGAATATTGAAAGCTGGAAGTTAAAAGGGAAACGGCATCCTGATAATCATATAAGGATTATCTTCAGGCAGGATGTGATGTCACATATACAACAACTTACAAAAGATGCAAGAAAAGTTCACGAATCAAAAAATTAAACAGAAAAATATTTGTTTACCTCAGAATTCATTTACAACAACACGCACGCTTAACAAAAGGCCTTGTTTGGTCGGTGTAGCGCCGTAATCACACTGAGCATCTGACTGCTGCTGGTCTCGGATGTCAGGCTTTGATTTGTTCAGGTCGATGAAATTTTGGATTGGGGCTAAAGATCCTCACGTACATCGGGCCATGAACAGCCGATGTGAAACAGCAAAATCTCCAGACGCTTACGAGCAGCAGCTCTGCTCAGAGCTCCTCAGTCAGTCTGTAGGGAGAATGTCCACAAGTCTCCAAGCAGAGTTTCAGCTCTTTGACTCACAGCAGATAAATCAGACGCTTTGCCCGACAGCAGAGTTCCACCTTATACTCATTACTGCACAAGGCCTCGTACTCCATCCTGTCCATGTGACTGAAAAAGACCCTGAAATACTTCTGTGGTCGGGCCGTTAACTCTCAGCAGTGATGTTCTATTATTGACTATTGATCACTGATTGGCTGATTATCCTAATCTTATATTAAATAAGGTGACATGCACGTGAGCTTGTTTTAAACCGCTGATTACGGTGATACTCCAGGGGTAGCAACCAGCGACACCCGAGCTTCAACACGCCAGACTTGCACTGAGTGGCGTTCGTAGGTTTGAAACATGAGTGGGTTCCTTTCACACATCATCCCAAGGTAAACGCTGATTACACAATGTTTCTAGGACAAATCACACTGGCTTCTTGACTGCGCTCTGCCACCGGCTACAAAATCCTCGATTGCTGTTGTGGAACCAAAAAGAACAAAAGAACAATGGTTCCGTTTTCTCCGACAGCTCCTGCAGGATCCTGATAGAAGCTATGAAAAGAGTCACTTTACTAAAGGAGGTGAAGAAGAGGCAGAGTGCCTCTGAAAACGAGAGGGAACCTTGGACAGGTGTTTGCACGATGAGAGAAGAGAGCTTCAGGACTTGTGAGGGTTCGAAACATTCACGTGGATTTGCTTTGATCAGCACGTAACCAAACCTGCCGGGCTTTGAGTGAAGGAGGGTGAGGTAGGAAAGGCGAGGCTGGGAAGAGGCCGTCTATTGCCTCGTGAACACGTACGATACATTCAGAGTCTTCTTTTGCTTTCAGCGTCGGCTGCATCGTGACTCTGTAGTTGTTCATTAGAAGATTAGCATGACCCGAATGAATTGCGACTGTTGCCCTGAGTCACTCACGCTTATTAAAGAGCGACAAATGCCTGAATTATTAAGTACACACACATATATGCAGTTTTCTTGGGGCTGTTTATCACAGCAACCCAGCAGCCGGCAGACTCTGTTGCTAAGAGACTAATCAACTTGCTAAAGGGATTTTTCGACAAGTGTAATTAACCTCAAACAAGCGTGAACACAAACACACAGTGACACAGCTCTAAATGTCTGGCAGAAAAGTTTCTGTTGTGCTGTCGCATCTCGATTCTCTCCACGTCTCTTTGATGCTGCAGCATTCAGCGAGTCCATTGTGTTCTGGTCGTTCCAGTCGTTACTGCAGTTATTGTATGTGTCTGGCTTACAGAGATGACATCTGGTTTTTCATCTCTGTGACACAAGTCTACCCTGCTTCTTTCAAGTCTCTGTTTATTGGAGCGGTAGCCATCCCAGCTTTCCCGTCTTTATTCCAAAAACAGCTTGTTACCGAAGACTGCACAGACCAAAGAAAAACTGCATCGGAAAGAGTGCAAACTTTATAGCCTGCATGTTCTGTCAAAGCGAAGCAGGAATAATGAGCAATAAGACTGTGATTGAAGCCACAGGATCAGGAGTGAACGACAGGATCGTAGCAGTAAAACGATGAGACTGGCAGAGGAGGAGCAGTTAGGAGCACAGCGAAATTAAACATATGGGATTCGGATTTCTGGAAGTTATGGAGTTGAGAGTAAATAGCATCTGGATGAAGTGATTAGACGAGGATTAAACAGGGATTAAGAGTAAATCAGTTCAATTGTGAACAAAATGATGGAATCAGGAAGAAATAACTGGATGGAGAAATGTAGCGTCTCGAGTGAGGAACGAAACGATGAAGTCACAACTCAAATAACGAGATGAAGACTAAAATAAAGTGGTAAGGTGTGCTGTAAACAAACAACAGGATCAGGGGAGACCCAGCAGAACATTATTCTGGAGTAAAACAAGAAATAGCAAATAGGAGTGTGCAGAACAAAGCAACGAGATCTTGAATAAAGCAATTTACCAAAGAGGAACATTTACTGGATTATGACTGAGGAATGGAGTGAATGTGATAATGTGATGTGAATGAAATAATAATAAAAACGAGTAGAATCAGGAATAAATCTCAGATTCAGAAGTTAGAAATGGGATGTGAGGAATGATTTAATTGGATTGGGAGCAGAACGGAGCACAGAATAGGATTCTGGAGTAAGGAAAAGGATAAGAGTCATTTAAAAGAGTGATAATGGGACCAGGAATGGGTTACCAGAAGGAAGTTTAGAGAAAAAGCATTTTAGCGGATGGAAAGGGAACGCTCCAAACCTGCTTCTGATCTAAAGTGTGGTGTGTGGAGCAAAGGGTTGGAATAAAGTACTGCAATCAGAATTAAGTAATGGGATCAAAAGTACAGTCAAGTAAGTTCAATGGAGCCAAATTTATAGGAATACTGATAATTTTATGAGTGAATTTGATTAATTTGGTGAACGGAGTGAAATAAGGTTTCTGGAGAAAATAGAAAATTAGGAACGTATTCTGGAGTAAAGTTAAGACTGGAGGTAAGGTAATGCAATCAGGGACACGTAATGAGATCAGGAGTGAAGTGAGTGGATGCAAACTCAGAGAATTCTGAGTGGTTTCATGGACGGCTACGCAGTGAAACTCATATCTCAGGAAAAATAAGGTATTCCAGAGTAAAAGAGAGGAATAAGATTATGCACTGAGGAATAAGCAGCTAGATCAAAAGTACAATAATAACATCAGGAGTGAAGTCATTGGATTCAGGAGATTATAAAAAAATCGGACTATTGCAGTACAAGGATGGAGAAGGAACGTGATACCTTTGGGAGAAGTAGGATCAGGAGTCGAGGAGTAAATGAATCAGAAGTCTTACTGTACCTGTCCCGTCTGCTGGCAGGGTGTCTGGTACTCGGCTCTCTGACAGAGGTCTTTCACTCGTTGGCGTTTGGGCAGGAAGTTCTCCTCCTGCGATACTTCCTTACCTTCGACGACCTGGTGGAGCAGCTTCCTGTAAAAACACAAGCAGGGAGGAAATCTGCATGTTTAATGAATTCATGATTCAAAGTTAATAAAAGTTTATTTTGGCATTTTTTATTTATGCATTTCTTCTGTCTGAATCAAGAAAGCTGCTTTTTTCTGTGTAAATGCTTCGGTGGCCTCGAGCGTGGGGGTCGATGCCACGGAGACGAAGCCAGCGAGCGACTCACTCGAGAGTTCTTTACAAACTTTTAAAAGTTAACCTTTAGCCCTCCGTTAGAAGAACATTTGACTGAATCAAAGCTTAATGATGTGTTTAAGCTGTGATTAATATCTGTCTCAGAGTTATTATGAGTTTTTACTAATTAACCAAATATCATCAGGCAGATCTGCTTCCACCGGGTGGACGACACCAGCTGCACGTCCATGACTCAGGACAGTAGTTCTGGCTGCCATGTTTTCCCAGCGGTGAGAGCAGCTGCTGTGTTACACTCTGCACTGAACGTAGACTGTTATGTGTTATATTTTCCCGAGCAGCAGCAGTGATGTGTCGTCTTTACCCTCTCTCCACCAGGAACGAGTCTCTCCACACCTTCGGCTTCTTGTTCACTTGAAACCTGAAGAAGAGGATGAAAACAGCGAGAATCAGAATTCCTGCACTTCTCCTGCTATTTTTAACCCACAACCAACACTGTCGCACCCTCCGCCCGCCTTCACCTCACCTCACCTTCTTCTTTTTTCACGTCGACTCCATTAAGCACGACTGCCTTTACTGAAGCGGCGTCTGAACGAGCTGCTAAATGTGCATCGCCGCTTCATTTTACACCCCTAAACCTCAGGCTGGAGCTCCTCTCGCTGCCACGTCAGGAGCAGCGAGTTCATTTCAGTTCAAATCATCGAACATTACACACATTTATATAATACTCATACCGTCCCCTCATTAAGCGCGTGACTCCATCTGGTTTCTATTCTGGGATGTTTGTAACGTTAACTTTCAGGAACAACATTTAGATTTTCCTCCTACGCTTAAAAGAACAACAGTCACTGCAGTGGAAACGACTGCAGGACTTTTTCCAGTTGTTTGATTCACAGAATAAACAGCACAGAAAGACACAAACATGATAATGAAGCTGCGACGAGGATTTACACACAAAGGCGGCGGAAAATGTTGCTGCTCGATGTAAAAGCTTGTCTCCAAAGTTTGAAACACACCGAAGAAGGACTCATTTAAGTTTCCAATATGACAGCGCAGCAAACAACGAAATATTTGGATTTCTTTAGTTTTACCTTTAACATCCAAACAGTTGCCAGCGCAGCGCTTAGGTTTAGGGTTGGGTTGAACTTGAGCCACAAGCTGGGAGATGCTAAACACACTCTGGCCAAACGGAGCTCATAAGATTTTTGTTTCTTATGTGAAAACATGTAGAAAGTCTGTAAAAAGTCAGCGAATTAAATCTAAGTGCCACTATTAAGAAGCTGCTGGTGACCTGAAGGACAGCACCGTTATCCACCGATTCTCTGCTGTTCACAACGGTTTAAAGAGATGGAAGCAACAAGTGGGAGCCGAGCTGTCGAGTCGTCTCACGTCTGAGGCCACAGCGAGGTGTTCACAACAAAATCCCTCCGGCCTGTTCTGCGTCTGCTCCGGGCAGAGTCGGGCACGTTCAGAAGCTTTGTTGTCAAATGCCCAACATCCTTATTTTAAACCATTTTTATCATTTAGTTTCTTTTTATACGTGAAAAACACAGCATAACACTGATCCTGGTGTTAGCTCAGGCAGACCATGAAGGCCAACTCAGCTGTGGCAAATCAGCTGACCTCGGTGTCAGCCCACATCAGCTGATGGCTCTGCTAATACCCTTTAAAGCATCTAATTGGCTGTCTTATACAGGGCACGCTATTTAAGCGGCTCGTGGAGGCGGGTTGTGGTTTCTGGGCGCAGTCGCAGGAAGGAGAGGTAGAGCAGTGTGTCTGATGAGGAGGGTGGGACACCTGCTGGGGACGTCTAATTAACCCCTCCCCCGACAGCATGTAGATTGTAGCAGATGAGAGACACGAGATGCTCAGCGGTGAGTCTGAGAGCCGGTGCAGCACAGCCGGCCACAGAGAGTCAGAGACTGTGTGAAAAATAATGTTTGAATAAAACTGTGAAAGTGAGATTTGCTGCCCAACGTTACTGTGGAGAACTCGCAGCAGCAGCCGGTGCTTTAACCTGCTCACAGTGACTGCACATCTGCAAGCCGCTTTGCAACCATACCCACGCCTCCTTTTTCACGCTGCATCTGTGACTGTCATAACAGCTGCTGATGTCTGCTCACATGTGCTGGATGTCTTTCTGTTGCTCTTCCTGCCTGCAGATTTCAGCAGTAAAGGATCCAGAGCAGACCCATTTCACCAAATGCACCCTCATTATGAGGGGGCTGTCTTCTTGTTGGCTCTGCAGTGCAGCTGTCGATACTCTCATTGCCATTATAGCAGACCGTGATAGACTGGTGTTCGACTTCTGCTTATCTATGAGTCTGAACTGGCTAAGCAGAAGGAGATGGATTGATGGAAAACATCAAACGCCTTTTCACTACAGTGGTATTGTTTGAAATATGTTTAACAAGCAAACACGTTACCACAGTCAGATGAAGTCCAGGTCACATCAACAATAAACTGGCACAAATAAAAATAGAATTATGATCATTTTTGGTCAACTGTATATGAAACCATATTTATTCATGACCTAGAATCATAACACACGAGTTACACTTGTGTTTTTAGGTGTGAAGACAGGCGCACACTGGATTTCTGACCACAGCGAAACAGTCAAACGTGGAAGACTAAACTATCTGTAAATGTCTGCACAGTGTCTGTTCTCATGTTTGTAGCACAACAGGACCCTCTTTCTTTATTTGTTGGCTGTAAACTGCTATCAGTCACTGTTTTGTCCTGTGCTGCTGAAAATCTGGCTCCTCCTGAAAAACACCAAGAATCTATAATCATGTGCTTGTTGTGAGCTGTTAGCTGCTGCAAGACGAGTCTGGTTTAATTCTCCTAACTGCAAAGAGCAGACTGTTCTGGGAGAATCTGCACAGAATCAGTCCATTATTCTGAATAAACTCTCGGTAATCAGTCTTTCAGCTACTGTTGGTGTTTCCTCTGCACCTCACAGATAATAAAAAGGGAACAGCTGCTGTAAAGTTCGTCTCAGCACAGAATGTAAGGACTCTATTCAAATGTTCAGACAGATATCCTCAGAGGCTTCAGTGTGCTGCAGAACTGAGAGTACAGCTAAAAACGCTACGTTTCAGGTTTAAAGACACATATCTGGTTTGATTTAAATTCAACAACGTGAAAAACACAAAGATACGGCTGCATCACAACATGTTTAACCAGAAAAAAGACAAACAGCATGTCTGCTTGTACGGACAACGTTTTAGAAGACTAATTTCTGAACTATTGTTCTCATGCAGCTGCAACATCCCCCAAAGTCTCTGACCTGACATGGACCTCAAAAACCTTCACTACTCGAACCCTCGTGAACCTGTGCAATCTACTGAAACTCGGGTTTATCCCTCCCTCCATCCATCCCTCCATCCATCCATCCATCCATCCATCCATCCATCCCTCCCTCCCTCCC